GGTGGCGGCGCGGGCGGGGGGCCGAGCACCGGGACCGGCACGCGCCCGCTGGCCCTTACCTTGGGCTTCTCCTCGGACATGGCTGCGCGCGGCGGCGGGAGGCGGCGAGGGGGAAGCAGGCAGCGCCGGAGCCGGCGAGTCACGCTCTCGGCCCGCCGCTCTCCCGCCGCAACTGCTCGCGGGACCGCGCTTTGCCCCCCAAATCTCGGCGTGCGGGTTGGTCGGCGAGGGGGTCACGTGGCGTTGCGCGTGCACGATGCGCGCCCCCGGGGCGTCGGGCGCGCGCCGGGCCGGGCCGAGGTTCCTGACCGTTGGAAATGCGTCACGGGGCGGGGCCCGGCGTGAACCTGGCGGTCCTGACACTCTGGGGCGCGGAGGGCATGGAGTCGGGGGTGGGGATGCCTGTACAGCACCAGACGCGCTCTCAGAGCTGTGGGGGCGCGGGACGCCGGGGGGGCTCACAGGGCATCGGGGGCGCACTAGGACCCGGGGGGCCCTGGAGCACCGAGGGCCCAGGGTGGCATACAGGACACCGAGGTCCCCAGGGGGTTGCACAGGGGCCTGGGGGGCGCTCAGAGTCCAGGCCATTTGGCCGGGGTTGTTGTGGGGTCAGGGACCAGGACTGGCGCATTATCTTGGGGCCTGAGGACAGCCTGTCCGCCTCCTCAGTGCCTTCGGTCCCTCGCCAACCGACCTGGTCCCTCGCCCACTTTAGCTCAGCCAGCCAAGCCCAGGCGCACCCATTTATTTCCTGTGTAGAGAGTGCGTTTTTCAGAGGGAAAAAGGAAAATAAGGCCAGTCTGGTGAACCACCTCCAGTGGCCAAAGGGGACCTGGGTGAGTGAGTGGTGCCTTGAGAAGCACCCCACTACTCGAAAAGGCTCCATTCACCTTCATGGAGGAGCAGGAGCCGAAGGTCATGAAGAACTGTGGGGTGAAGGAAGAAAGCGCTCCAAGGCTGACCCACCTGTCAGCTCCATCCACTAAGGACACATTGCATTTGTTCATTTCACAAGCCCACACAAACTCCAGTCTGCCCTCCTTCACCCAGAGCTCCAGGGGGACAGAGACCTAAGACAGGGACCAGAGATGTGGAATGTCTTTCTCTCTGTCCACTTCTCACTCTGAGCTTAGCCAGGCTTCACTCTCTGCAGCTCCCTTTTCTCCCCTTGTCTAGTCCCGTTTGGCCTTCCGAACCTGGCTAGTGGAAGCTGAACCCTTGGGGAAGATGGTGGGACAGATGCAGGAGGCCCTCCTGTGACCGTTTTGCTAACGTTTCTGGAGTGCACACTGCACCAGATGCCAGGACTCCGCACCTAGTCCTCACAATAACCGATTCTACAAGTGAGGAACTTGAGGCACTCAGAGGTAGATTACATGCCTGAGATCCCAGCGTTGGTATGCAGTATGACTGGGATTTGAGCACGGGCAGTTGGTCAGTGAGCTTGACCAGTGTGCTCTACTGACTGTCGGGGCAAACCCAGGGTGAAACACTGCCTAGACAGGTGCTCAGGCGGCCATGGGGAATGTGCTGGAGAATGGGGGCCTTGGTCAGGACATCCTTTTGCTACTTGAGGCATGCATCCTTAGAAGCCCCTGGCTCTTCCTATCCTCCCTGTCTGTAATCCTAATGCCTTCAGATGAAATGGACCAGTGACAGCTGAAATTTATCTAACACTCAGGGTGTGCCAAGCCTGGTGCCAAGCTTGCAACATCCCACTCAAGCCTCACAACGCTCTGGTGCAAGGACCCTCATGATCCCTATTTTGCCAATTAGGAAACGAAGGTTTGGGGGGAAAGTGGACTGCACAGAGTCATGCAGCTAGGAAATAGCAGGGTCTGGATTTGACCCTAAGAGACTGAACCATTTCCATCCTGTCTGAGGAAGGCCCAGCCAGCTGGATTCCACTCATTTCCTGTTAACATCACAAAGCTATGGAGCCATGTTTTCATGGACCTTAATTTCACAAACCATCTTTGACTCTTAAAAATTCACTTTCTCGGCTAGAGGCACCATTTAGGAGAGGGGAGGGGCCTCCCCCAAATGGGGCTGCCATGTCACAGGTTAACAAAGTCTCCCCATGAAAGGTGTGGTCAGAGCCAACCTCCTATCTCAGCCAGGTCCAAGGTCCTTTTTTATCCTGGAATCTGCACTATGACCCACCTCTGTCAAAGAATCCCTAGGTAGAATGGCCAGCTCTAACTGTGCTTCTGGGAGAGGGGAGCCTGCAGGAACAAGCCCCATCCAGGACAGAGATGGACATTGGGGATCAGAACCGTCCCCCAAGATTGTTGGCTCTGGTGTGACTTCACATGGGCAGTGTTCATGCCCATCATCAACTGGAAGACACCATCAATTATAAAGCATAATATTGTGTATGTCACATACGCATTAAACTATGATGGGTTACGGATGGAAGACACATCCTGGTTTCAGACCTATTGAAGTGTGAAAAATATGTAACTTAGAATTGATTAAACACAATATCTAAATGTGTTACAATAAGAAATTAGTGAAACTATGGTCCATATAATGAAAGGCTGTATCACTATTTAAAGAATGTGTAAAAAAAAAGAGTAGTTGATAACAGGAAAAGATGCTCATATGATGTTGATGAATTTTTTAAAGCAAATTGTTAAACTATTGTGGTTTTGAACAACTAGAAAATCTGTATAAAATATTTTGAAAATCTGTTTGAAGATATCAGGTAGCTACCAAAACAGAGAAGACTTTGAGGGGTGAAGATCCCAGAAAGAAGGGAAGTGGTTTTTCCCTCTGAGGCATTTGGTGATTAGTATGATATATTAGTCAGCTGGGGCTGCCATAACAAAATACCACAGACTGGATGGCTTAAACAACATTTATTTTCTCACAGTTCTGGAGGCTAGAAGTCCAAGATCAAGGTGCCAACAGGGTTGATTTCTGGTGAGGGCTCTCCCCTTGGCTTGTAGAGGGCTGCCACCTCTCTGTATCATCACATGGCCTTTTCTCTGTGTGTGCATGGATATAGGGAGAGGAAGAGAGAGGGAGGGAGTGTGGGACAGAGGGAGGAAGAGAGGCACAATACAGTCCATAATATATGCAGTGGACAAGAAGTTGAGACACTGAGCAGAGCTTTTGAGTCTCATAGGATGGGGAGACAATAATTGAGCATGGCCTACTACAAGATAGGCTATGATAAATAACCAGGACCTTCAAATGGAGCACTGGGACCTACAATAGAGGAGTAAGGCTGAAGTGTAAATAGGTCACTCCTCACAAAGACTGAAACCCAGCTTCCAAACAGCTCACTCCCAGATTGGGCTATGCTGACCTGTTCTCCTTCCTATTGCCAGCCTGAAGCAAAGAAAATCTCTGGAGGAAAACAGCATCATCTAGGGCCTCAAGTTAACTAAAATATCTTCATACACAATATCCAGAATTAAATAAAAGCTTGCAAAGAAAACCAGGAGACAAATGATCCAAAACCAAGAAAAAATACACAAAATAGTAATAACCCCACAGGAGACAGAGTATTGGCATTATCGGACACAGACTTTAAAGTAACTTTAATTATTTTAAATAATTAATATGTTAAGGAAAATAGATAATGAGATGGAAATTTTCAGCAGAAAATTAGAATCTATAAAAAAAAAGAAATGGAAATTTGAGAACAAAAATACAATTTCTGAAATTATGAATTCAGTAGATGGGTTTAACAACAGATTAGACACAGTGGAAGAGATGATTATGAACTGGAAGATAGGTCAGAAGAAAATATTTAGACAGAAGCAGAGAGAGAAAAAGTATGGAAAATACAGTAAAAGGCCTAAAAGCAATATACAATATGGTGGAAAGATCTAACATATTTGTAAAATGGAGACTCAGAAGGAGAGAAAAGAATAGGCCAGAAGCCATATTTGAAGAGAGAATGAAAGAGAATTTTTCAAAATTCACCAAAGATAATAAACCACATACTACAAAGAAACTACTAACTCAAATCAGAATAAATACAAAGACAGCCACACCTGGGTATATGACAGTTAGCCTGCTGAAAACCAAAGACAAGGAGGATATCAGCCAGATATTTAAAGGAGAAACAAAAAGACATCTGACTTTGCAACAGAAACATGGAAGCCAAGCGACAATGGAATAACATCCACAACGTGCTGAAGGAAAATGCCTACATACAGTTCTATACCCAATAAAACTATTGTATAAAATACAGAGAAAATTTTGCTGTATAAAAATCAGAGAGCTGGCGTCAAAGCTTTCTTGTCTTCCTCTAAGTTTTGGGTTCCATCTCTAATCTGCCTGCTATTATTAACTTTTCAGAGTCCTCAGATAGTTGCTTACCTGTCTTGTTCACCCCAGAAGTCTCTCCTTCATTTTCAAAAGATATTTTGCTGGATATAGAAGCCAGCGTTTAAAGCCTTCAAAGGTGTCATTTCACTGTGCTCATTGTCAGAATACATCCTGAGTGCAGCCCTTTGGGAGGTCTTCTGTCTCTGAAGAGGAAACAGGATCACTGATTAAGTCCCCCCCCCCAAGTTCCAAGGACATAGGCCTGCCTGAATGTGGGCCTGGACCAGTGCAACAGAGAGTTCTACTTGCCACACCCCATTCCAGGATAGCCAGCACCAAGGAACAGCCTGGAGTAGTCCATCACAGTGAGGGGCAAGAGCCTGGACAGAGACCCTCCCCAAGGTGCAGGTGCACAAAGAAGGCCTAGAGTTGAGGGTGGAGCAGGAACATTAAGAAAAACCCTCCAGCAAACCATCCTCCACCCTCAGCACAAGGTGCTGCTAGAGGAATTTGAGGTGAGTGGACACTAAAGGTAACCACAGCAACCACAAAACCCAGATCCAGTCAACTCCTAGCCTGCTTGACTCAACCCCTACAATGGCAGCCAAGCAGAAGAAGAGGAATGTCCATTTCCAGATATAAATACTATTAACCTCAGTCTCTATTTCCTACAGACAATATCTGGCTTTCAGTAAACAATTACAAAACACACAAAAAAGAAGGAAAAAAACCCACAATCAAGACACGAAAATCAGAGCCAGCCCTGGTGGCCTAGTGGTTAAAAGTTAGGTGCTTGCCACTTTGGCAGCCCAGGTTCACTCCCTGGTCGCGGAACCACACCACCTGTCTGTCAGTTGCCGTGCTGTGGTGGCAGCTCACATAGAACTAGAATGACCTACA